ACAGCCATATCTTTCAAGAAACTCAGTTCTAAAAAATTATTTTACTCTGTATTTACAAAGTAAACTTTACACAATTTGTCAGTATACTAGAGAAGGCAAAGCTCCTTGTAACCATTACTAGTCTCCATTTACTAACATCCTCCAACAGTTCATGACCAATATGTCCAGGGTCAGAACAGGGTGGGCTTCTTTAATACTATACTGGAAAGCTACTTTCATTATGTCCATCAGAGGTATACTGCCAGTATGTCAAGTTGTCAAGAGCCTCTCTCACTAACACCTGACTCCAAAAGTTGCTCCTGTCTCAAGAAAAACCCACTTCATGGTGGTCCAGTAGTAAACTTTCATCTCTGCAATAAAGTAAGTGTGTGTCTTCTCCAACAATAGAAAACCTGAGTACAGAAGAAGTATCAGGAGAAACTTCAGCAATCTTCAGCATGACCAAGCAGGCTATAAATGTTGCAGCCCTTTCTCCTGTCTGAAAGGACACATAGCTATCTACCCCAACAACTTGGTGCAACATGACCCTGAGTAGGGGTCCCCATCTCTTCCTCTCTGCTTGAATTTTCCATGCCAAGTCGCTACTTGCAGTCTCATAATATGAAACAGTGCAGGCAGAATTTTACAGATCAGTCATGCACCTGAAGGTGATAAAACTTTTAAGCAAAATAGTTCAGTACTACAGAAAATTGCCTCATTATGCAAAACCCAATCTTATTTTTAGATTCCACCTTATGCTCCCTTGTGTTTCATTCCACTTGGTCTGAGCAGAAATTAATACAGGAAAAAGGATCCAAACCTGGAGAATTCCAAGCTGTGATTTTGAATTACCTTTTTTTTTTGTTTGTTTCTTTTAATTGGCAAACTCTATATAAAGTGCTAAAGAATGATGCAAATGGTACAATTTCTGGTAGCAAAGCTGAAGAACAGGAACAGTGCAGCTTGTAAGCTGTTTTTATAACTTTTGATACACAATACTTTTAAAAAAACAGCCCAAACAAAACCAGAGTGTTTCTCTTTTCTTTTTCTTACTTTATCATCATAAGGCAGCATTAAGCACCCTGTACAAAACTGTACAAGATCACACTATCATCAAATAGTTTGCGTTTGAAGGGACCTTAAAATACATTCAGTTCCTATCCACCTGTCACGAGCAGGGACACATTCCACTAGGACAGCTCTCTCTAAGCCTCATCCAACCTGGCCTTGAAGATGAAATATTACTGTACAAAGCTGCATACATTACAATGTCTTCAACTTAGTCAGTCAGTGACAAAAAAAATAGAACAATGCCTGTCAGTTTTTTCCTAGTAGAAGGTGAAACAGTGCCACCCACTGTTTTTCCAGAGTATCCCCTGCTGCAGAAAGCCGAAGAAAGCTAAATCGGTACTTCACATTCACTACAGTGGCAGCTCATCCTAAGCATTCCTCCCTTTAGTCCCAGCACTGGCTTTTACTACTGGTGACACATTTACAGTGATATTTCATACACAAGGAAAGCTGCACAGGGGAAAATTCTTTGAACTTGTTCTACTACAGCTGAAGCCCCAAGAGAGACAAAAGGCTGAATAACAGAAATTAGTGGTTTTTATCCCCAGGAGCAGGTGTTTCTTTGACTGTACCTGTCAGTTTTCACAACCACTTGCAACTCAAGCGAATCTCAAGCTGAAGAGTAACATATTATACCTCCAATATGTTACATATATTACACACTGTAATGTTGTATTATGTAAAATTATAACTGCAAAAATTGCCATAGGATGTAAATATCCAACTGCTTTTTTTCATATCCTTCCATTCATTTTGTATCATCCCTTAATCAGACCAGACAAGTATCTACCACTCCCTCTTAAGCTAGGTCACAGGTCATTCTCTATAATCAACATTCTTACCCGCCAGTTTATTTTTGGTTACTATAAGGAACATTTATGTAATCCAAAGGTCAGAAGTTATTAGAACTGGTAAGTCATGCATTGTTAAAACAAAAAGAGCACTTAAGGACTTCTCTTAGAAAGTAATGGTACTTGTACACATCTTACTTACCTTATCTTAGGATGATGGAGAAAGTGGCAACACTTCCCAACATAGCCAAGTACCGGTCACTTAAAGGTCTACAACTACTTGGTCTTCCATTAACAAAAATACTTTGTAAGCCACTTTACAACAGAAAGTGGGCTGTTGCTTACACTCAAGAATGTGCAAGCTAGTATTTCAATGATTCAGGACTCTAACAACAAACTACTTGCCTCTTTGCAAAACCACAGAAAAATTCAAGAAAGGTCAAATAGAGTGGATGAAATTATATAAACCAGTTACACTTTGTTGATAGCTAAATACTCCAAACCAGTCATTATATCTTGGCAGTGCCTGTTTCAATAGGACAACGTGGGTAATGTTTTAAACTTAAAGATGGTTGATCCAAGCTAAATACACTAAGAAGTTTTTTACAATGAGCATGGTAAAAAAGGTTGCTCAAAGGGGTGGTAGATGGATGCCGCATCCCTGGGAACATTCAGTCAGGATGGACAGGGTACTGAGCAACCTAATCTAGCTGAAGATGTCCCAGCTCACTGCAGGCTTAAATAAATGACCCTTAGTCCTTTTAGTGGTCCCTTCTAATCCAAACTACTCCCATATTTTGATTCAACCATCCTAGCTGTGTCTGGGGCTCAGCTGTAGTCTATTAAAAACACCCCTAAGACATGCAAGTATCAGCAATGAAAACTCAGATACCAACAGCTAGAATCAACGACCCACACTAAAGAGAGGAAACTGTAGACTCCAAATGCATTTGAATAGTTCTATGGTTCTGGAGGTAACAACTTAAAACTGCATATGCATGTTCACAACAGTCTTTGGAAGCAAGTTTCATCATGTCTGTACTACCATGTCTAAAGATTTCTCATACTGTGTAACTAAACTGCCAACCATTCATTAAGAAACTCTTTTTATTCTGAGCTCACTTTCTCTTTAGAACGAATTTAGAAAACATTTAACTCAGGTACAAAATTAAGAAATTTATCACTAGAGCTGAGTATCAAGACAGCTATTTCCTTCCTAGTGATACTCAGATGGTCATATGAATTAACAGTATGTTATGACAGTTTAACACAGACCTGTGGATCTGCTAAAAAACATGCTTACATGACACTGAATTAGTAGAGAAGGCTTTTAAGAGTAAATATACAAAAGACTTTACAGTATTCCAGCCATTTATTTGCCAGTGTACAATATACATTAAAAAAGAAAAAAGAAAGAAGGCCCAAATAACATAAAATATGTATATAGTGTTTGCTAGACAAATACCTGACTAAAATCAAGGCATAGCATAGCTCATACTTCATGGAGTCACAATGAAGTTCAGGCACATACTTTATGTTTACTTTAATGGTTTACAACTCTTTTGGTCTGTTTAGTAGAAAATTAACCAACTGAAGCAGAACTTCATCATTAAAGCCTTTCACATCACCGTCTTCCACAACATCATAGAGTGGCTTACTGTCTGTACCCCAACAAATATTCTTTCGAGGGTTGTTTTTAATAGTTTCTGAAGTTAGTGCTAAAGTATTTAGCTGGTAACAAAAGAAAGCGAAATATTTTCCATCAGTAACTACTGCCTGCGATACAAAAGGACGGGTCACATCTGCTTCATTCCAGAATCCTACAAAATAAACAAATACAACAGAACTTGAGATTTCTATCAGCACACAACCTAAACCCTAGTCCCAAAGCAGAAAAACTGGGAATTGCAGCAGCTGCCTAGTAGGGAAAAAGTCCTATCTGCTTTATCAACAAAAGCATTTTTCATACAAACTAACCAAAACTCAATCACCAACAAAGGTTATGTCTAAGATCAGGGACACAGAGGCATACTTGAATTTTGTACGCAGCTCCCTATTAACAGTTGATTAAAATCACTCACTGATCAGATAAGTGATATTTCCAAAGCAGCTAAGTTACTAACAAATCCAAAGACCTGCAAAGAAGCTGAGGGAAAATGTCTTTTAACTATTTCACAGTTCTCAGATGCAATAAGCATTTGTTTCATGACAAAAGCATGCACATATATGCACGAACAAAACTGACTATAGTAATCAGCCAGACACCAAGAACACTATGTCAGTAAATGTGTTTTAAACAAACCCCGAGCACTTCTGAAATATGTTAAAAATATTTACATATTTATGCATGTGCACTAGTATATACACAGATATTTTCAAGAATGTTACTATTATGTGTCACAATGCTAAAAACTGTTACAGAAGAAAAGTCATAGATTTGAATAATGCTGCCTTCACAATTCATCCATCAGGTGTTCACAGCTGACCAACTCTGAAGACAAAACTTACTCAACTTCAACATTTTACATCCATAAAGGAAGCTTTCTAATACCCCATTACACAAAAAAAATTGATGCAGAGCCAGTAGTATAAAATATAGTCACAGAATTTTCTTACATGTGTTGTTTCTCAAGTGAAACTAAAAGCCATCAGGTATCTTACACTAACACTAGACAATAACTGTATTTACAAGAATAAATGAAAGACTGTTCTGGTCCAACCACCCAGGTCTTCTGGAACTTCTTTTAGAAAAACGTAAGCTGCTGACATTTTTCTTTCATTGCTAGTACTTTCATGGAATTGAAATTACTGAAATAAGGGCTAAGCAACACAAATGTTCCAGAAGGAAAAAAAAAAACAAAATTGCTTGATGTCTACCACATTTCCTTCTTAAGGAAGAAAGAACAGGTGAAAGCAACTGAGATTTTTGCATAAGCTTACTGTTATATATTGAAAAATATTTTTCTCTGTATTTAATTCCTCTGTATAAAAATACTCCCAAGTCTTTTAACTCTTTTATTAGTTCATCTGTAAAGACTTACTTAAAAGACAGTCTTCAGCAAAAAGAAACTCAAGAAAAAGGTGGTGGGGACAGAAAGTTAAAAAACATTACAGTAAGCATTCATAACCAGGGAAAATTTGTCCAGCTAACTATCTCACCTTGATACATTGCTTGTGCTGCTGTCCAGGCAAAGAGACTGGCAATTCCATTTGATCTATAAACAACTTCAATCTGATCCTCAAGACGCGCCTTTATAAACCTCTCCCGCCTCAGTTTGTCAGGAAGGAGATGGAACTGGGTATGTCCATAACAGCACGGATCTGCAACCTTTGATCCTGAGTGCCCCAAAACAAAACTATCCGTCAGAGAGAAAACACTCTTTATTACACAAACGCATACTTCACTATCAGACTCTAAAGCTAGAACCCCTACTGTGGATCTGTGAAGAGCTTCCTACTTCCGAAAGGCAAGAGTCCACATCCTAAAATGAGAATCAAAATTTATACTCTCCTGGAAATGTATCAAAATAGAAAGTTTTGTGTCAATTTTCTATTCAACTCCACTTTCTCAAGCAAATTTGGACACACAGTACCATATGCACAGGAGAATGCTACACCCCATTGCCTGACATGAAATTTCAATAGAGATCTATACACTACATAAATATGTATACAGTATACTTATAAACATACACAACTACTTCTGGTGATGGGAGGAGAAAAATTGAGGTGACATTAGTTTGGGGTTGGTTTTTGTTTGATTGGTTTGTTTGAGTTTCTTTACCAAAAAAATGTTAATATTTCACAATTAAAAACACTTACCTATAAATACCTTATTTTCATATTGTTTTTTGAACAATGGCAGTTTGGATGGCTTGTGATCAATAACAGGAACATCTCCAAGATCTGACTCCAGGGGTACAACCTTGAAGACAACAAAAGAAATATAAGACATGATGTAAGACATATTTCTGACATCAGGTCCAGTGTAATACCCTAAAAGTTCTGTAAACATAAAAGTTTACAGAACACACAATGGTTTTCTCTTGGGGTGGAAACTGGACAACAGAGACCCTAAGTGGCTACACAAGTACCATTGTATAAACCTGCAAGAAAAACATTACAATACTGAAACAATACTTTAACCAAACTTGAGCATTCAAGAAAATAACTGCCACGCAGTAACAAGAGGCAGGAATGCTCACATTCATTTTATATGTGCTTTTACAACTTTCTTTTTACCTCCACTCCTATTATTCTCCTCCAGTGAGAATATTCCACAGCGTATTATTCATTCTTGCCCATTTCCAGGCACAGAACGTTAAAAATTCAATTTAATTAAATACAACAAAACACAATTTAAAGTACAAAGAGGATCAAAAGTTCAGAAGACTGGCTCAATACCTAGCAAGCCATTACCACAATACAGTAAGGGTATCAAGACTTGAAAAATACCCAAATGTGCTACATACTGATTAACTAGGTCCTCCACAGACCACCTCTACATTGTTTCAATGGCTGTCAGAAATGAAAGTGAAAATGCATGGTATTAACTTGCTATTGAAAACATCCTCACCTCGGGAAGCTGCTTTGGTACACGGATCTGGAGGTGGGGGTTGTCATCTATTTGGAATCGCACAGGATCAACTCTACCCTTTCGATGCCCATGAACAACAACTTCGTTACCATGATGCCAGTAATAGTTAACTTCAGGGTTTAGATCTGAAACAGAACAAGAAACACAAAAACCCACTGATTTGCCTCTTGCATTAAAAACCCTCCCAAATTCTTCTTCAGCTGCAGTCAGCTACAACACTCAAAACCCACGCAGAAGGAGGGAAAAAAATTACTAGTGATGGTGTGAACAAGTGAGATACACAGCGACGGTCGTGCCGGCTCACAGACTGGCCCTATCGCCCAAAGGCTCCCGCGTCCCCTGCCCTGCCAGCCCCGCTCCGTACCGAGGGAGGAAGCGGCCAGCAGTGGGTTGCGACCGGACAGGGAAGAGGCGAGACTGGAAACGAGCTGCGTGAGGAAAGGGCCGGGCGTGTGATCCTGGTCACGGTAGAGGAACGGCCGCTTCTTTTTCTGGTAGAAGCTCTCCTGGAGAAGGGCGTCACAGGCGAGAGAGCGCAGCTCGTCTATATCCGGATACAGCGAGGTTCCCGCCGAGGGCTCCGGGGCTGTCGCGGCCCCCGGCGCCTCCGCGGCCCCCGGCGCCTCCGCGGCCCCCGGCGCCTCCGCGGCCCCCGGCGCCTCCGCGGCCCCCGGCGCCTCCGCGGCCCCCGGCGCCTCCGCGCTCGGCTCCGGGGCTCTGCCGGTCTCTGCCGCTCCCGCCGCCGCTATCGGGGGTTTCGCGGCCGCGGCTCTCGGGGGCATTCCCGGCACTAAGACGGTTTTGGTGAAACTGCGGTACCAGCGGTCGGCGTTGAGGGCGAAGGTCTGCGGGTACACCATGTACTTGGGCCGCTGCAGCTTCCCGTACAGCCGCAGCTTCTCCTCCACCGTGGCCGCGCCGTGCACCCGCTCATTGAAGCGCTGCAGGCGTCGTGACTTGGCCGCTTTGCTCTTGGCCGTGATGGACGCCACAACGGGCGGGTAGAGGGGTCCGGCGAGCGGCGCGGGGGCGCCGGGCACCGTCTCCGAGAACCAGCGCCGGCCGGGCCGCAGCACCCGCCGGGCCCCCAGCGCCGCCATCTCACGGCACGGTGGGGCGGGGCGGGGCGGTGCCCGCCAACCGCCGCACCTGATTGGCCTCTGTGGACCACGTGATATCTCCGTTTCCGGCGGGCGGGCGGGCTCGCCTGAAGCAGGGGCTGCCGGGCAGGAAGCGGCGGCGCCTTGGGGGTCACGTGGTTTGGGGCCAGCGGCCCATGCGGCCTAGCCGCAGTGCGGCGGCTCCCGAGCGGGAACTACAGCTCCCAAGAGGCTTCGCGAGAGGCAGCGGGAGGTGCCTGGCAGGACGGCCGGGCCCGCTCCCCGCTGCCCGTGGGGAGCCTGGCGTGGCGCTGGGAGCCTCGGAACGGACTGGGCTGGAAGAGACCCTTGAGATTATCGAGTCTGGCCTGTGACCGAACGCCACCATCTCAACAGAGCGTGGCACTGAGTGCCACGCCGTTTTTTCTTAAGCACCCCCAGGGACGTGGACTCCACCACCTCCTGGGGCACAGCCTTACCACCTTACCTTATCTTACCACCCTTTCCGCGAGGAAATTCCTCGGAGTGTCCAAGATGAACACTACCCTGGCGCAGTGGGAGGCTATGTCTTTTCGTCCCGTTCCTGGCTGAAAAGGCTCGACGGAGCATACCTGCTTCCACTGGGGAAGGGGAGCCAGCTTGGAGCCGGCTTCCCGCAGGCCCGGCTCCCGGGAAGCCCGGTCCAGCCTGGGCGCCTCAGCCTCCCGCTGCGGTGCTGCAGGGAAGGGCCGGCTCTGCGGCTACCGCGGCGCTCAGTGTAAACTGAAATGACTCCTTGTCAGAGACATCACAGCCTGCAACGTCTGGCTTTAATAAAGGAATTAAACACTGCTAAAATATTATCTGTTACGGCCTTTGTTTGTGAAGTGAAATGAGCTGAAAGAGGCATACTGACACCGCAAGAATGCCACAATAACTGCATGTTTATCTTAGAAATTATTGGAAAACTTGTAGGTATTTCTCTTCAGTGGACAGATGAAGTTCAATATTTATTCTTAAAACTTTTCTTCTGTCATTACTTTATTAAGTTTGATTATTTGCAGTAGTTGTGGAAGATTGGTTGGGTTTTACTGTATTTCCATGAAGTATGACTAAGAGTGGGAGTGGAAAATATGCATGGGATTTGGACAGGAGACACATTATATACATCCCAGATAATCAACTTTCTTTCCTCAACTGCTTAGCTTTCTGCTGCTCACTGCTGATGTGGTGGAATCTTTGGAACATAGAGGAATTTTTGGAGTAAATGGCAGAGATGTAAACCCAGAGTTTGGGTTGAGATTTTCAAAGAATAGAAAATATAAAACGATTCTCTTCAGAAATTAGGTGAAAGTTAAACAAAAATGAAATCACTGTGCTGTCTCCGAGGCATGACGACCTGGTTCAGGATCGGCACGGCAGTTACCTCAGACTGCTCCGGCCAATTACTCGCAGACACCAATGTGGTGGATGATAAAATGACATTTACTTCCAAGCAGCACAGCATTAGATAGCCTGGGGTTACATCACTTCCATTTGCTTGTGTCACAAGCCGCTCAGTTCTGGCTGGCTTGGTAAATTCATGGCAATATAAACAAACAAATTAGGGATCCCATCTTTCCGTACAGCACGTAATCTTCCAACTGCCTATCCCTGCCTTCCCACATTGCCCGCCTTTTCTATGCCTAACCACATGCAGTAATGTACATATTGATCCAACGCTACTAAACTATAAATTTTTAAGCTACTAGAACCTAAGCTATTAAACTCTAGTATCACTGTTAACTGTTCAGAGGAAAACATTGCTTAAAGCAGGTGTCTGTGTTCAACTAGCATGATGTTAACTGAGTCAAAACAATTTTTAACAAACAACAGTAACTTATTTCAAACACAGCGCCCAAAGATTAATGCCAAAACTATCATAACATAAGGGCCTATGAGAGTTGAGATAAGGGTGGTTAGCCACGGGGACTGGTTGAACCATGACTCGAACCATCCCTGTTGGACTTCCCTCTCTTTCCTTCTTCAGGCCAACTTTTCCCTCAGTTCAGCCAGTGAGTCCCATACAGCCCCTGTATGGTCCATGTAAAAACAGCATTCCTCTCTCAGGGAAGTACACAGACCTCCCTGTTGCATGAGTAAAGGGTCCATGCCTCGTCTGTTCTGCAAGATGACCTCTGAGAGAGAGGAGAGGGATTTTTCTAACAGGGAGATGGATTCCTCAGTTTTCTGCAGGTCCTCGTCAACGGTTGCCTGCAGTTGAGAAAGCCCTTGATGTTGGGTAATAAGGGCCGAAATGCCTGTAACTGTGCCAGCGGCTCCCAAGCCTAGGAGCACTGCAAAGGTGATACCTGTCACTACTTCCTTTTTGCAAAGCCAGCGAGGTTCATTGGACAAAAGATACATGTCTTCCTCTCGATGATATGGGACCCTAGGGACAATTAGAACTTGGACACAAAAGTTAGTGGAAAAATTAAAATGATCAAGGTACACACAAGGGCTGACCCCAGATTGTTGGCATACCCACATCCCTGGCCCAGACAGGATTGCCCATCTGTCTGAACTTTGGGGCTGTGTGAATTCATCACAAACTATGCCTTTTTGTCTAGTTATAGTCATGTTGCCCAAACACTTGCCAAGACCCGTAATCTGACTCAAAGTGATTCCTCTGTGGGGGGTATCCCACCGGCACTGGAGTGGATTTTGTGAGTTTGAGTAGCTGAAAGAAACATTCAAGGCAACTCCCTCATAAAAGGGAGGTTTCGAGTCATAACACAGCCAGCATGACTCAGTGAGATCTGGATTTGATTGGTTCAGGAACAAAAAGGTAGCATTTAGCATGTTAAAGAATGGGTCATAAGAAGCTGACTTGGGCATTGAAAGGACGAGTGGTGTAGAGATGAGGTTAGGTGCATATGTCCCATACGTGGGTT